ACCAGGGTTACAGATGCTCAAAATGCCAGGCTTTCATGAGGGTTTTGGGAATCAAACTCAGGTCTTAATGCTTCTACAGCAGACACTTCATTAAGACCTTCACTTTCAAATTCTCCTGTCTCTGCCTCCCATGGTAGATTATAAACATTCACATCACCAAAAATTAAATATGTGTTGAATTAGGAGTGGCAGGGCTGTGTCCCCGGCACCCGGCCGCCCGCATGGCTAGCTTATGCCCGAAATAATTACATGTAAACTGTATTCTATTAAACACTGCCTGGCCCGGCTAGTTCCAGCTTCTTATTGGCTAGCTCTTACATATTGTTCTAACCCATTTCTAATATTTTGTGTAGCCCACGAGGTGGCTTACCAGGGAGAATCTTAACCTGCATCTGTCTGGAGTGGGAGAAACATGGAGACTCCCTGACTCAGCTTCTTTCTCCAAGCATTCTCTTCTGTTTACTCCACCCACCTATGGGTTGGCCTATCAAGGGGCCTAGGCAGTTTCTTTATTAACAAGAAATCACTCCCACATCATTTCCCCTTTTTCTGTTTAAACAAAAAAGAATGGCTTTCATTTTAACGTAGTAAAATTACATATAGCAAAACAGTTATCAAGCAAGAATTACAGTTACAATATATCTATTTTATCTTTTATCATAACTAAGGAAAACTATAACTATCTATTCATTCTTCAACTCCATCAAAGACTCCAGAAGGATATAATATTACCTAAGTACACAAGAAATAAGAAAACTCTAGAAATGACAGAGACATCTCGCTGCCTGGACAGTCACCCAAAGTTCTTTGGTACCGTTGGGGCATCCATCTTCGGCCTACAGGCCCATGGTATCCAGATACATTTCCATGAAGCAGGAAATTTCAAAGACAGTTCAGTCATTTTCTGCTGTGTCCTGCAGAATGTCTCGCAGACTCTTTCATGAATCAGGAACCCCGAAAGACCATCTCACCTTTAGGCAAGTTCAGCAGTCCTCTCTCTGAGGGTTCTCTGTGTCCAGTTTATGCAACAGTCCAGGCAAGAGCAGTTTCTTGCCCAAATGACTATCCAACTCCATAAGGATCCTCTTCGATGCCCATCTTCCTCTTGAAGTAGCTGGTGCTGCCAGGAGCAGACGTGTCTCCTTGTCATGAAAAGTCCTAAGTTATTAAAATATTTTAAATGCCATATTCTGCAGTCTTTGAAAGATATGAAGAATGCCTATCTAACTGAAATATATCTCTATATATCTAGAAAATCTAATTAACATGACTACAAGCTTAACTATTAGCGATGATTATCCATTAACAACCTATATTTCCTAATTATACATTACATTTTTAAATGAACTACACAATCACAATACCTTAATCAAGATCAAAAATACATATACATATAACAAAATTGACCTTAAAATCCATACCAATGCAAATTATTCATATCTATATCATATCCCCCTTTAAATGTAAAAGAACATTTATAAACAATATTTGGGAACATGGGCGTAGTTTTTTCTCTCCAAACTGCTTCCTGCTGAATAGGGGCGTCGTTAATTAGGTTGTTCATGATATAACCTGTGTGCTAGTTTCATCTCAGTTGGCAATTGAGCGAAGCAATTTTTTGAGGGTGTTCACAGCAACCTTTCAGGAGGGCGTGGTCTATCATACCAAATCGGAATAGATGCAATCCACAGGGTCTCATCCTCTGCAAAAACAAAAGAAGACCCTCTCCAAAGCATCATATCCTTAGACCCAAATTCTGAAATCATAATACCCTCATGAAATCCATTTTGGTTTAGCTTGGCAGCCCATATAATGAAATGTCTCTCTGTACTTAGCTCCTTCACAGTCAAAAATTTTAAAGAAAACACAATGTACATAATCCAGACTCTCTGTGAATTTTCCATTTTTACGTGGCTTATTTTTCTTTATTTCTCTTAATCTATAACTATCTGTACTTCTGTACTCTGTCTCTTTAAAGACTTTACCCTTTTTCTTTTTAAGACATTAACTTTATTCTTTATATTCTTTTTCTTCTCTTTCCCAAGCCTACGTACATTTATCCAACAGTGTCTGAATCTGTTTTATTGTGAATCTGTAATTTTTTTACTATCCAGGAGCATTTCTTAAAATGTTAAGCATTTCTTAAAAACTTAAGTTGCACCATGTACAGGTAATACGGTACTGCCTGTGTCCTGCCCAGTCTAAACCTTAACTGCACGGTTTTAAGGTAATTACGGTAGTTCCTGCCTGAGATCAGCACAGTTCAGCATGGAGCAGCCGCTCCTGCCTCAGAGTCATTTGGTGCTTCTGAGCTGAGCACAGTTCCAGGCACACAGCAGTTCACATTGGAGCCGCAATCAGCAGTTTAATTCTGAGACTGAGTGTGCAGCACAGAAACTCTTTTCATCCAAGTTACAGCCAAATCTGACACGCAGAGCACTGCGCAGTCTGAAAACGCGTCTCTGTATGGCGGCAGGAATCCGCCATGCTCTTCCGCCTGCCTAAGCCTGATTCTGCCTTCTGCCCAGGTGCAGGCGGGGAGCGCTGAGCCATCTGCACGGTCTCAGAGCACTCTCCTCCGATCCCAAGCGGGAACACAAACATCCAGTCCCATAAAAGCCTTGAAATGCTTTAAAGCCAGAGTTCACGCTGGCAGCACAGCCCCAGGAAGCCGCGCTTTAAAATGACACAGCTTTTTTTCTGCTGCTGTTGCTGAATCAGGAAATTTCTCTACAGCACGCCACCAACAAACAGCAAAAATCTGTGTTAAACTCTCTCTCCCTTATTTTTAAGCCTTCTCAGGTTTTTAAGTGGATTTAGCCCATCACGTCTGGGTGCCACTCTGTTAAATTAGGAGCGGTGGGGCTGCGTCCCTGGTACCCAGCCGCCTGCATGGCTAGCTTATGCCCGAAATAATTACACGGAAACGGTATTCTATTAAACACTGCCTGGCCCGGCTAGTTCCAGCTTCTTATTGGCTAGCTCTTACATATTGTTCTAACCCATTTCTAATATTTTGTGTAGCCCACGAGGTGGCTTACCAGGGAGGATCTTAACCTGCATCTGTCTGGAGTGGGAGAATCATGGCGACTCCCTGACTCAGCTTCTTTCTCCCAGCATTCTCTTCTGTTTACTCCACCCACCTATGGGTTGGCCTATCAAGGGGCCTAGGCAGTTTCTTTATTAATAAGAAATCACTCCCACATCAAATATGCACAATGATGGATTTGTGAGTGCGGTGAGCTTGATCAGTCATTCTATAATATGTACATACAATTATTATTCATTGGCTTAAAAAATAACATGGGATCCATGTATGGTGGCATACAGTTATGATTCCAGCAATCAGGAAGATAGTGAGTTCTAGGCTAGCCTCATCTACACAGTAAGAGCCTCTCTCTCTCAAAAAAAAACTCAAAAACAAGCCATTGTGGCCAATATGTTGGCTCATGCCTACAGTCCTGTGTTTGAGGGCTAGCTTGAACTACACAAGGAGTTCCAGACTAGCCTGAACACAAAGTGATACCATCTCAAAAGAAAAGAGTAATGGCAAATGTAAAAAAAAAAAAATCAGTAATGAAACTCTCTTCTGTTTGTGGATGAATAAAAAGAGATGGATGTTACATTAAAAAAAAAACACTTAACAACTGTTTTTGACTCAGATCTCATCATATACCCCGATCTTGCCTGGAACAAATAATACTCCTGCCTCAGCTTCCTGCATGGTGGGAGTACAGCCATATGCCCTATGCTCAGTCATGGCAGCAATTAAAAACAAATAAAGCTTAATATAAACACTTAAAAAATAAATAATTGGGGCTGGCGAGATGGCTCAGACATTAAGAACACTGGCTGCTCTTCCAGAGATCATGAGTTCAATTTCCAACAACCTCAGGGTGGTTCATAACCATCTAGAATGAGATCTGGTGCCCTCTTCTGGCATAAAGGCATATATGCAGGCAGAACACTGTATACATAATAAACAAACAAAAAATAAATCTTTAAAAAATATATAAATAAATAACCAAGAAGCTTGTTTTGTAAACTACACAGAGAAACATCATATTGCAAAAGCTGAAATGAAAGTATCCAAAAGTGGGATTGTGGATATGGCTCACTTCTTAAGTTGGATCTCCCGGACCATAGACTGAACGTGGTGATGCAGCCCCACTATCTCAGCACTCAGAAGGTAGAAGTATGACTAACGGAAGCTCAAGCTCATTTTTGACTACCTAGTGAATTCGAGACTCCATGATGCTTAGAAAAAATAACAATCAAAAGGAATACAGCACAGAGGAATCACAGAGGCTGATAATTGATGAAAATCTATTGTTTACACATTAATCCATTCAGCAAACACACCTACATAGACACTATTTTAAGAACCTTGGATATACAGAAGAATCAAGAAGTCCCACCTGGCCTACAGAGGGCAGACATTAAACCCACTACATGAGCAGCCATACTTCAGTCCAGTACAAACAAGACAGACAGACAGAGGTGATGTAAAAGGAGAGCAACAGAGCTTCTGCATGGATACACAGAGAAATGTGGTGGCCATCTAGCTGGGACTCTGAGAATCAACCCCTATCCAAGGCTTTACACAACTTTGTAAGGCTGCTTCTGGGTTTCAGAGACTCCCATTCCACATCCAACACTTACTCTGAAGCCAGCAGTCCTGATGGTGGGACAGTGAAGTGAGACAGGGTACCAATAGAGAGATCAAAGATGGAGAAGCTGCCCCCCACCATTACATCCCCAGGACGGTCAAAGTGACGCCTCTGCCTTGGCAACAGCCAGGCTCTTGGTGCAGAAAAAGCAGACACAGACACATAGCCAAAGAGAACAGGAAAGAGAATACACAGCCACATGCCTGCTGGGCACCAGGCCATCAGTGACAGGACAGCCTCATATGGAGCAGTAGCTAGCAGTAAAGGGGGCTTTTTATCTGTGAGGAAGCTCTCAATCAAGGACTTGAGGCTAAGACCACACTGGGAATTCTAGGTTTGCAGGCTGTGAGGAGAATATTGATCATGACATGGTGGAGGTGGGTGACCACTAAATCCCAGAGTCATTAAAAGTTTTATCTCCTCCTCCTGAGGTTTCTCTTTGCATTCACGGTCACAGTTCTGGGCATCATTTGCAGACTACAGGAAGAGCAGCAATGGGTCTGATTGTCTCCTGAGAGACTTGCAAGCCCAGGAGCAGCTGTGCGCAGGACAATGTTTAGTAGAGAAACCCCAGGTGAGTACAAGAAGCAAACAGCCCAGTAGCTGAAGTGAAATATTTAACACATTGTTCACACTCTGTAGCCCCTGCATAGGCCCTCCATGTGTCTCCACTGTGTTGATCCACCAATCCATGTTCTGGGTGGTCTTTACTGTTCCTTGAGGAATTTTCAGAAAAGTTTATCTAGCACAATTTGGAAATACACACAACCAAACAGCAGAAAACAATATCCATGTCTTTGTAGAGCCATTACTCATCTTCCCAAGGTACTGAGCCTATTTGTCGATCATTTGAAAACAGATTCCAAGGTTACCAAAGTTGTTTTCAGGTAAATTCACTTGATACACTAGCCTGATGGCCTGTGTGTGATCCCAAAAATCAGCATAAAGTTAGAAGGAGAGAATCAACTCTATACACTTATCCTCTGACTCAACATGGAAATTATGACATACACCTGTGTGTATGCATACACACACATGCACACTTTATACATACAAAATAGATATATTCAAGTAAGGAGACAACTTCCAAAGTGTTAGTTCAACAGATAAATAAAATTTTCCAACACAATCATAATCCCCATATGACGTCAAAAATAGAGTCTAAAGGATGGCTCATCCTCTTAGCAGGTAAAGGCAACCTAATGACTTTAGTTAAATCACCAAGTCCCTCCCACATGATTGGAGGAGAGAACTGACTTTTGAAACTTATTCTCTGAACTCTACATTGTGCCTTGACACTTGCATCTCCAAAAACGTGGACAGAAACATCACACACTGCCGTAGAGATTTGCATTGGTATAGATCTTGATTTATTGATACAAATTTAAGGTCAATATTGTTATATGTACATGTGTATTTCTCCTCTTGATTAAAATGTTGAGATTATGTAGTTCATTTAGGTTAATAGGTAATTATGTATAATAGTCAAGATTGTAGACGTTAGATTTTCTAAATGTTCAATGATGTATTTCAGATGAACAGGTATTCTTCAAATCTTTCAGGGACCTTCAGAATATGGCATTTAAAATGTTTAAGAACTTAAGACTTGATCTCAGCACCAGGAGAGCCAACATGGGGGTGAGTTTGGGTCCCGCGGCAGCAGCAGGGGACAGGGAACTCAGACATTCCTCATCCTCCCTAGACTTCCTGGGCTTCCTGCTGGGCCTAGACTCCCAGCATACTGCCTCTCTCTTCCTACCCCACCCAGCTTGCATCCAGAACCCTCCCTCCTTTCTGCCTCCCTTCCCTCTGGGGGCTCTGAGGCAACCTAGCGGGAGGGAGCTCCTTTGTTTCAATAGCCTGCCTGCAACAAGCAAGGTAGGCGCTTTGTTTACGAGCTACCCAACAAGCACAGAGATCTGATCTTGGCACCAGGAGAGCCATCATTGGGGAGAGACGTCACTCAAGCACCAGGAGAGTCATCACTGGGGAGTGCCATCACTGGGAAGGTATATCAGTAGGCAAGGAGACCTGATCCTGTAAGAGAAGACACATAGGGAAGCATTCAGAGGAACAGATGGGCAGGCACCAATGCAAGAATTCACCCAACAATCTGAAGAACAACATGAAACCACCAGAACCCAGCGACCTCACAACAGGAGGACAGGAACACCTTAATCAAGAAGAAGTAGAAAAAACTGACTTTATGAAAGTGATTGATGCCCTTAAACAGCATGTAAAAAATGCCCTTATAGAAATGGATGTGAAGTATAACAGAAAGTTTGAAGAATTGAATAAATCAGTGAATGATACCCTAGGAAACCAAGGAAAAACAATCAAACAGATAATGGAAACAGTTCAAGACTTGAAAACTGAAATGGAGGCAAAGAAGAAAACACAGAGAGCCGACTGGACATGGAAAATCTAGGTAAACAAATAGAGACTACAGAAACAAGCATATCCAACAGAACACAAGAGATAGAAGAAAGAATCTCAGATTCTGAAGATAACATAGAGAAAATAAATGCAAGACATTCTTCAGGACAAGCAGATAGTGACTGCCTTTGAAATTTCCTGCTTCATGGATATGTCTGCTGGAAACTATGGGCCTGTAGGCCGAAGATGGATGCCCCAACAGTACAGAGGAAATTTGGGTGACTGTCCAGGCAGCAACATGTCTCTGTCATTTCTAGAGTTTTAAATTTGCTTATTTCTTGTTTGCTTAGGTAATATTGTATCTTTCTGGAGTCTTTGATGGAGTTAAAGAATAGTTAGTTATAGTTATAGTTTTCCTTAGTTATGATAAAGATTATTGTAATTTTTACTTGATAACTGTTTTGTTATATATAATTTTGCTATGTTAAAGTTAAAGCGTTTCCTTTTTGTTTAAACAGAAAAAGGGGAAATGATGGAGGAAGGTCATTGGTAATAAACAAACTGCCTTGGCCCATTTTTATAGGCCATCCCTTAGGTGGGTGGAATAGGCAGAACAGAATGCTGGGAGGAAGAGGAAGTGAGCTCAGACTCGATAGCTCTCCTCTCTGGGGCAGATGCCTCAGAGAGAGGCCATGCTCCCTTCTCCCGGGCAGATGCAATAGCTCTGCTCTCTGAGGCAGACACGATTGAACTCTGACCCAGGATGGACGTAGGCTAGAATCTTCGGGTAAGCGCACCATGGGGTGCTACATACCTTATTAGAAGCTGGCCCAGGTGCGAGAGTTAGCTGAGAAGAGGCTAGATATAATGGGCCAAGCAGTGTTTAAAAGAATACAGTGTCCGTGTAATTATTTCGGGGCATAAACTAGCAGGCAGCCAGGGTGCTGGGGACACAGCCCTGCCGCTCCTATTACTACATGTCACTCTCTGGAAACTTAGAAATAAGAGCCAGAAAGCTCTTCTACTCTCTGTTTTCTGAAGAGAAGACTGTTAGGCTCTCTTTCCTAATGATGCTTATTCTGAAGAGTAACTTCATGTTGTCTCCTTTCCCAACCAACCTGCTGGTCTGACCTGCATTTCTTTTCTGAGACACTGTACTCTGGAACCACAAGGTAGAACAAACCCCTTTTTGCCTAAGCTGATTTGGCGATATTAATTAATAAATAAAAGTAAAAGAAACTAAACCTACTATTCTGTACCCCCTCTTAAAGTTTCTACTCCTTTCCAATAGTGTCAAACTATGGACTTAGCATCTACAGGGGCCTTTGGAGAACAGTCAGGATCCCAACTTGGTTTCATTTTTCCTTTGAGACTTTTTGTTGACTACATCACATTCCCTTATAAAGAAATTAGACTCTGGTTGAGAGGGATTATTCTTTATTTTTACATAAGAAACACTTGGTAATTTACTAACTAAATATGTTAATAAGGCCTTGACCTTTAAAACTAGGGTAATTAGCTAATCTTGTTAAAGTAGATAGACAGATGTCAACAGGCTTGGAGGCCTTTGCTGATTGAGGTCTCCATTCCATCATATTCTATTTTATAACCCATCTTCCATTTTCCTTTAAACACCAGAAAGAAAGAAAGAAGAAAGAAAGAAAGAAAGGAAGGAAGGAAG